TCAGTACTTAAATCTTCAATAAAGCCATCCAAATCTGAGAAACCATCCAAGAAACTATTTATCTTCTCTGGCTGATGATCACCTGATGATGATGATCTCCACGTGTAGTTTTGTATTTCCTCCTTTACTCTCTGATCTCCATCATTTTGCAATTCCAATATTTTCTTGCCTGGTGATGAATAAGTAGAACATCTTATTGTTTTCTTCCTACTACCATTTACTACTTCCGGTGCTGCCGCAGGTTTTCCAGTGAGATTCTGCACCAGTTCCCGAAAGTTGGCCACATCTGTCTTTATGATTTCAGGTGCAAATACGTGGATTATGCGAATCTTTGGCTTGGACGCCGTCTTCCACATTTTATGTGATTCTTTGTGCATGCCCAGTTTAGAAGAAGCTGAACTTGGATTACATGATGAGTACTGTGGCTTCTTCATCATCTTCTCCATGGAGTCAACTATAAGAGATCTTATGTTTACGTTTGTGTGGGGAAGTGGTTAGCTAGATAGCTATTTTGTGTGGGAAAAAAGCCAGATTGTATGGGGGTTTTGTAGATAGAAGAAATATATTGATACGAGGGAAGGGAAGTACTGTTCAAGAAAATGCAGGTTTAATTGAAGGCAAACCATAGCAAAGTTGTCCTTTGGAAGCAAAGATTAAATATAAGCTAAATATTTCCCAAGTCAATGAACTACCATAAGACCAATTTATTAGGCCCTGCCAGCATATATAATCACTTTTTAATTTTTTTTCAACATTACACGCATACATTCAAGCATATATAATTACTTTTTAATTAGCTTAGTCTATTGGTTACTTATTTTTCTAATGTTAAAAGATATCCAAATTTCAAATTCCGCCTGTACTTCATTGATAAAAAAAAATAAAAAAGTTCATTGGGCCTTCATTTGGTTATTATGTCAACATAATGGCCAAACTAAGCCGATCCTTGATTTCCACACACACACATATATATATATATATATATATTATGTATATTTGATTTTGTACAAGAAGTCACGTCTTTCTTAAAGATAAAACCCGTTTAGAAAACCTCATTTTAACTCAATTTCCTTCAATTCTGATCCAATCTATTGTAGCATGGTTAATTGTTTTAGGGTGTAGAATCATCATTAGTTTAGAGCTTATACTTAAGGTTTCTAGTCTCGGATTAAAATTCAAAATTTCAAAGTTCTTTATCCATTGCCCATCTCTCCTCAATGCCATTTGATTTAAAGGCTTTGTTCATGACAGGAGAAAATAAAAGGGCATGCAGTGTACCAGATGCAGGGTACAATGATGGTCTGGCGTGCAGGATTGTTGATATGCATAATGCACGTGCCCTGAGTGCAAACGTTCAAATTGTTGCAGATTGCAGTTGGGTGAACTTATTACAACTGTGTTGTATTACTACTACTACTACTACGTACTAGTGCTGCTGCAACAATTCAACTTTGTGCAGTGCAGTTGCAGTGCAGTGCAGCAACTTGGAGTTGGTGATCACGTGGTCATGGCATTGGCAAGATGGCCCCCTCCCCGTGAAAGATATGTAGCCGATCATCATTTGCCTCAACTTCACTTGCGGTTTTGTTTGTCCCCACCACCACCACCACCAGTGCCCAAAATGTGCTTCCAAACCAATTTATCTTGGGTGTACTACCTCCTTGTCTAGTTCATTGTGGTTAATCAATTGTCATCATACACATAGACTCGAGCGAACAAATGTGGCCTCATCAAAATCTTGTCTCAGAAAACCCAATGGAAAAAATATGAGACGAAGAAAAGAGAGTGTCACACGCTCCATAAAGGCTACAAATAAAACTCAAAACAAAACCAAAATAACAAGTCAACTAGTAGAGACACGTTAACCGCTAAACCCTGAAAGATATTATTAAATAGCCACTCTTAAATTTCTTACATTTGAAAAATATGAAGTATTTACAATATCAGGATATGTATGATTATGTATCAATTAGAATCATTATTATGTGTGTGTATTGATGTGTAATAAAAATAAATATAGATAATACAGAGTGTTACAATTATTGGAATACATTCTCTATATACTATACAGGAAAAGTATTATTGGACCGCCTTATATAGGAAAGTGTTACATTATTCGAATCACCTAGCTATATATATATATAGGGGGGGAGCAGTTGTCGCGCACCAACCCAGAATAATTGGATTAATCCAGTTAGCAAATAGAACGTCTATTCTTCTTTTCTTTTCTTTTTTAAATCTGACCTTTGGAAGAGAAAAAAAAAATACATCTTTAATGACACAATATTTTAATCTTTTTTTTCTTCTTCTAAAATTGCTCAATCAATTTATCACTTAAACAAGGCCTATGCTTTTCAATTTTGTTGAAACTGATATGTATTTGTTAAACAAATCAGATGCACGCTTGGCAGAAATTGACATTCCATTTTAAAATTGATTTTTTCATTCGGGCTAGTTTTGGATCACCATATTCTTTAAGTCGATAACATCAACTACCTTATGTTGAAGAATATAAGTCCCACATCGGAAACTTGACTAAATAAAATACAATATATAATAAATGATTCCACTATTAATATCACCGAGGCCTTTTGTGATAAAACCCCACGCCTACTGAGTATAGGGGGGGAGCAGGTGTCGTGCACCAACCCAGAATAATTGGATTAATCCAGTTAGCAAATAGAACGTCTATTCTTCTTTTCTCTACTTTTTTAATTCTGACCTTTGGAAAGAGAAAAAAATACATCTTTAATGACACAATATTTTACTCTTTTTTTCTTCTTCTAAAATTGCTCAATCAATTTATCACTTAAACAAAGCCTATGCTTTTCAATTTTGTTGAAACTGATCTGTATTTGTTAAACAAATCAAATGCACGCTTGGCAGAAATTGACATTCCATTTTAAAATTGATTTTTTCATTCGGGCTAGTTTTGGATCACCATATTCTTTAGCGGTCTTTGAGTCAATAACATCAACTACCTTATGTTGAAGAATATAAGTCATACATCGAAAACTTGACTAAATAAAATACAATATGTAATGATTGATTCCACTACTAATATCATCGAGGCCTTTTGTGATAAAACCCCACGCTTACTGGGTTTTGTAGGTGGTTAAGTTGGAGACAATATCGATATTCTTAGTAGTGGGCAACTGGCCCGTCTCTATAAATTTAACATGGTATCAGAGCGGGTTGATTGACTGGGCTTGAATTGGGTCTTTATCCTTACCCAATATATGGTATTTATATGTTGGGCTTGAACGTTTTCCCATACCTCTTATCCAATACGTGGTGTTTACGTATTGGGCTTAAATGATTAACTCTGATGTGGACTTGGCTCCACATGTGGCACACTATGTGGTGGTCCCACGTGAGGGGGCGTGTTGAAGAATATAAGTCCCACATCGAAAAATTGACTAAATAAAATACAATATATAATGAATGGTTCCACTACTAATATCACCGATGCCTTTTGTGATAAAACCTCACACCTATTGGGCTTTGTAAGTGGTTAAGTTGAGAATAATATCAGTATTGTTAGTAGTGAGCTGGCCCGTCTCTCTGAATTTAACACCTTAACCTTATGAGGTTTGACATTCTTTTAAAATTAATGTCCAAAAATTGATGTTCCTAGCTTGGCCTAGGTTAGATGATTTTAAGTTGTATGAAACAACAATATTGTGTTTGTTTGAGATAAAAAGCCAAAGCTGAGCAAGCAAAATATAGGGCTGCCTGCCTTGTGTCAATCAGAATACACTTTTGGCAAATAGAGGTGGCGTCAATCCATTACTGTTAGAATACACTTTCTGCATCATGTTGATTTTTTTTTTCACTCCATTATTGCTTTTAGTAAAAACTCACCAAATTACTCTCTACCTTACTTTCGTATTGCATTTTAAGACCCTTGACTATTTCCTGCAGATAAATGCCAGCCATACACGTAGCAAGCTCACGGGATTTCTGAGACGTCCGATCCCTATCAAGCCTTTGACTATTTCCTGCAGATAATTCCCAGCCATATACTCCTTGTTGGCATAACACGTGTGATGATCAAACAGAGGGCCTCTTTGTCAGCAATTCCTTGGAAACTAGCTACTGCTGCTCAAGGAGTGTACTTTGCCTCCCTAAACATCTCCTCCAATTGAAGATCCTATAATTTTTTAATTAAAGATAGTTTACATTGTTAACCATGAAAATTTGTTTGGTCATTTGGAAATTGGAACATATATATGTAATCAAACTGGTTTACTGGGGCTACAACTAGAAGCCTTTGACTATTGCCTGCAGATAAATCCCAGCCATACACTGTGAGGAAGAAGGTTGTAGAAAGATCTGGAATTTAAATGTGAAACAGGGATGGCACTATCTTCAACCAATCACAACATGTTATGTGTGACAACTTTTTCATGTGGTAGTTTGTGATTGGTTGAGGATAGCAAAATAATGTTATCCCCATTTCACACAAGTTTTTCTGTGATTTTAGGCTCATGAACGCCTGCTAGAAGATGTTTGTAATGCAGTTTGAGTTTAACGATATTCGTTTTTGTTAATTAAAAAAATAATAATAATCTCAAGCCTCTTCACTTCACTTATTTCCAATTGTTTTTGAGTTGGATGTTGACTTCACATGATATCAGAATCAAGTTATTCATATATTGATCCTATCCTAACAGAGAACTCTCCGCATTGTGAGCCCAAACCTAAAAAGCGGTAAGAAGTTGAAGAGAGTGAAAAATTACTAAGGTAAGGTATTTTCTGAATCAATTTCGAGAGTTTTTGTTTTCGGGCAGGTGATTTTCAAAGTATTGCTTTTGGGGCTATTAGGTAGGTCTCACACGTCAAGGAGGTTGTTACAACTTTTGGATTAAACAATCCTCAAGCCTAATTTATTTTGTATAAAAATATCAATTTCGTTCACCCCACAACCACTAAGCAAACTGTTAACAGTTTAGAAGAGGAAGCTTAAGAATTGAGAAAGCTAAGAAAGAAGAAGAAGATTCAAGAAAATGATATGCTCTGTATATTGATTTCACAGAATGTTTACAATCGTAGTGTCATCAGTGTTATATATCTCAACACTGAATACATATTTAATCAAAGAACAAATGAATCTCTCAAACTCACAAACATATTTAAGCAAACATATTAACAATCTTGTACAAAAATCCAAATGGAATATGCATGCTGATCAGTAGTATTTAGGCGATGCATTTTCCGGGCTACGAGGAGACTGCGAATTATCCCTTGAGTAATTTGTTGAAGGAGAGAGCTCACCGCCGGCGGGTAAGTCGGCAAGAACAGCAAGCATCCGACGGATGCTTACAGAGCGAGCTGGTTTAAAGCTATGTGATCTCCTGGTGGTTTTGGAGAAGATGTTTGATGAGTTGGAAAGGATGAGATATACCAAACCCTGAATCAGTATGAACATGGCTACCTTCACCAACACATCTGCTATGCTGCTTTCCATAATCATCATCATCATCCTGAATTATTTGTGTCCTTGCTAACCTGTTATCTGTTTCAGACAACCTTGTTTTGATTTGGCTGGTGGAGGAATTTGGCAAGTGATGAATGAATTTGGATTTAAAACTATGTACGACAGATGGTATTTATAGAATTTCCATGAGAAGAGAAGCATGCGAATTTGATTATGGAGCATGTAAAATATGAAAGACGCCAACCTCTTTGACTTGCCCTTACAGTCTAGAACTTGTGCTGACGTGGTTATTATCATGTTGACCATGTTGGAGTAGTTGAAAAGTAAAGCAGCAAATCTCGACGGTCAAAGAAGGAGCAGAGAGACTGGATCAGTTTTTGCATCATCCTAATCTAGATGACGTGTCACGATAAATAAAATAAATCACATAACAGACAGAATAAGTTACGTGATAAGTGATGTAGATACAGTGAATGAAAGACAAGCGAAAGTAACCATGAGATGTGGTGTGGTGGTAGCTCACCTCATTCCTTAACCATGTGGTTGGGGGTTCGATCCCCGCCCATGGGAATGGAGCGCATTTTGTGGCCAGCTGTTTACCTCTTTTGGAGAGCTCCCGGGGCGAAAGGGATTAGTCACTACTGTCGGCGGTGGACACCCTTGGATCTCATCCAGAAAGACAAGCGAAAGTAGCTAAGAAGGTAGATAGTGCTTGATTTGATTATCCAATAGTTTGCATGTTAGACGAAGCAAGCACTCAATCATCACCTAATTCGCGTCAATAAAATAACACTTGAATGGATTGTCTGCGAGTGTTTGTTAGTTTGATTAGGATGTGTTTGTTTGATAATAGTTATAATAAGAGGTCAAAAGCAGCACGTGATTAAAGAATCTGTATATATTATTACTTTACGCGTCTTTTGATGATTTGTTTTCTACCATCTACCATGATATGAGAACAGACGTATGGCGGTGATGGAGATGATGATGACCCTCCACCTGCTATTGCCTGTTTCCAGAATAATAATTGAAGTGTGGAGAATTGGCTAATTGCTTCCACGGCTCTCAGAAAGTCGTAACTCACAAGTTAGAGACAGCTTAGCAGCAGTTCTCTCTTTCACGCACTTGACAAGTTCACATTTCGCATTGCAAACGGTTCTTCTCAACAAATGGTCAATCCGAATATTCATGTTAAACTTTTCAACAATCCTTTTATTGACCTAAAACATACTAGGACAGGCTGCCTCACTTTGTTCAAACGCCATCCCTTCCCACCCCAAAAATACAGATTTACAAAGAAAAAATAATAAAAGAGCTGAGAGCGTGATCAGTTACAGTACATAACGGTCGATGCGATAATCTTTCAATTAAAACCTAATCATGGCAGAACTGGCACAAAACCTGTTATTTGGATTACAAAACGAAGCTGCGTTCCTGGGTGGATAAGCCGGTGGGGAATGTGAACTGCTACTTTTCAGATCCAGAACACACATACATCACCACAGGTAACAAACTCCCCTTGTTAAAAGAGATAATGATGGAAAGAAGCGACATCACAGAACAGTAGTCAGATCAAAGGTTGACCGATTCAAGGAACAAACGAGGTTAAAACAACTTTGCGGCATCACAAACCAAAGAGGCAGACAAGCCTTCCATTTATTAACTGAAATTGAAGACGAAAAAGGTATACACATACTTTAACCCCAGCTCTGTAAAGGAGAGAAGGGAGGGGATAATGCACGATTATCACATATGATCAGGGTGCTGACTAGTTGACCTAGACCAAGGAAAAGGTAAGCAGGAAAAAGTGGCATAACCATCCTCTGCAGATTTACACTTCAATTTTATGGTGACACTCAAGTTTCCTCAAAACAGATCTAACTACAAATTTCCTGCAATCAAATATTGAAAGAGATATATTAGTAAAATCTATAAAGCCTTGCTCTTGGATATTTGGCATTTAAAAATTGATTACAAGGTAAGAATTAGCCAGGTGACATGACATTGTGAACTTCACTCTGGCCATCATGGTTTAAGCATAGGCCATGCCGAAGCTAGAACAGACATTTTGCAACTTTGGCCCCAAAGATTGCCTAGGAAGATGATTTCATTGTCATGTTTTAGTCTTAAGTAACTACTACAAAAAACAAAGAAAACAAAGAGAAGAGTTTGCCCCAACTTAAGGCTGCAGTGCTAGGAACCTTCAAATTGGTACACAAGGCAATTTATGTTATCTCGAATAATCCCTGTATGTCCAGTTAGAAAATACTAATCCCAGTACAACTTCAATATAAATAAACCCATGAACCATAATGATGGGTATGAAATTGTTGGATGCAAAGAGAATAGCTAGATGAGTTAGAGGAAAAATGGAAAAGACAGGCATATTTTAAAGTGAAATAAGATTTAGCTATCCAGCACTTATGGTTTGAATTTATACCATAACATGGATTTAGTAAACCCTTGAAGCAAGACCTTTATAAATGCCAAATGGATAAGTGCCAACTTCTTAGTTGATCAAGCCTCCTAGCAAAGTAATAGGAGCCTTTAACTAATGTTCGGCCTCAGCAAGAATTGAGAGGTGTATGAAGTGGGGGATGCTACAAGCCACTTATGGCCGACAGGCACAGGACAGGCCCTGAGTGAGGAACCAGCAGGCCCTGGGCCTCCACATTGATGAACCATTTAAGCTAATGCTCGCAGGTTTGAACCATGATCAATTGGGTATGAAATTGCTGTCAAAGATAAAGATGGGGCATCTGGGAAACACCTAGAAGGAGAAACAACCTCCAAGCCACCCCCATTAAACACTGACAATGCACAAAAATGGGAACTCGCAAAAAGTTGATATCACTGAAGCATAATCTCTGGTATGATTTAAAGGACAGAACCCGTAAAAATGTTATCCATACCACAGCAAAATTGAAGTAGGCTACCTATACTCTCATGTAGAAAGAGGATCATGGACTTCTTTCAACCCACATATGTAACTGTTTACTGTTGGACTTTAAGCTACAACTCGGTAGATCCAGCATCAAAATCAACTCTTGTCTAGTTTGACTCATAGCTTTACATACACCAGTGAATGTTAATTATTTAAAGGCCAGAGTTTCTTGCTAATTTTATGCAAGAGTTTCAAAATTGTATAGAAAATTTTGGAGGAAACTCTTTGAAACTACCTAAAACATGAATAATGTTTGTAACTAAAATTTCTTCATTTGGGATATCATTCCTAGTGAAAACCAGGAAGAGTTCTATTTAAACAGGATAGCATACAGCATATAGCTGTAGAAGACACAAATCAAGTTTTATTGTGAAAACCAAGAAGAAAATAACAGGAATTCCTGTTTATTTTGGATAAAAAAAAACGCAAAACTCCGGAGGCTAAGACTTCTCTGAAGTGTTAATTACAACTACAAGATAAGCTCATGTTTGGCAAAAGCTTCAATACCAAAGATTTGTTTGGTTAGTGAACTCCTAATAGCATTCAAATAAACACAGAATTTCAACCTAACTAAGAAGACATGCGAGGGGTTGTTAATATGAGCAGCACACAAAAATGCAATCCAAACAAGGCAATGCAATTGATAGAAATTACGACAATGGGAATGAAAAGAAAACGAACCGTTGAAAGATGAGTCGGCATTGGCATTGGTATTGACATTGGGGGAGGCAGCGGGAGCCATTTCTCCTGGGTTGGCCATTTGCCTTCCACTGGCAGCAATGTAGCTGAGGCGGAGACTGCCCCCATGGGATCCATATTCCATGAACCAATCGTACTGATCATCGTCGTCGTCGTCGAAGGGCAAGGGGGTGTTTTGGTTTTGGTGTCGTAGGTGTGGTTGGTGAGTGTCGGTGGGGAGCTGGAAACGGCAGAGGGGGCAAGAGCTGTGGGAAGAGAGCCAGGGGAGAATGCAGTGGGGATGGTAGAGATGGTTGCAAGGGAGCTGCTTGGCGTCGACGGAGTGAAGGAATGGGTCCTTACAAACGGCGCAGAGGAGAAGGGGGTCGAGATCGAGCATGGAGGAGGTGATCTTGAGAGTGGGGATGGCGTCGACGGAGGCCTTGGAGGCAGGCAGAGAAGAAGGGGGGACGGCGGCGGTGGGTGAAGGGAGGCGGTCGTCGTGGTTGATGGGGTGGGTGGAGAGGTGGTGGATGAGGCGGTGGAGGAATGGGCTGTTGAGCAAGAAGTTGTCTTGTGAGTTGTGCTGATGGTCAGAAAAAGAAGAAGAAGAAGAAGACGAAGAATCCATGAGCTCCAAGAGATCGCTGAAGCAGTGAGGGCAGAGCAGAGTCTCCTGGGCAGAACAAGGCACCAGGCTCACGCTCATGTCGCATTCGTGGCACCAGAACGTCTGATGATCACCCATTTCTTTATTTTTTTTTAATTTAGGAGATTATTGATGGCAGTGCAGAGGGGAAGGGGAAAGGGAGAAGGAGAGGCGGCCAGTCCCAGTCACCAGTAGGACTACTCAGGAGGAGGGAAGACTGGCATCTTGTTTTGGATTTGGGGATTAATGCCATCGAGGGCATTCTGGTCATTCTGCTTTGTCAATCTCTGTCTCTATCTGAGATGAGATGAGATGAGATGAGCAAGCAGCAATGAGACTCATGACTGAGTTGGTGGATGATGGGTAAATAGTGTGAGTGATCCTCCCACCCCACTCTCTCTCTCTCTCTCTCTCTCTCTCTCTGTTTCTCTGTTTCTCTGTCCTTGAAGTGAAGGAGGCCTCAAGTTCAACCACAAGTACTTTCTGGAAACACGTTGATGTGTTGTCACTCGCACCTCTGGCAAGTCAGATCTCCCCCTTTCACTCCTTACTTGCCTTCCATTGCATATTTCTTAATTATTAAGCTATTACAATATACAAATATTTGTTTACTTCTTTTTGGAGGTTACATCTCATGTTGGTGGACGACGTGTTCTGTACCCCATCATCAAACTACCCAAACTACTCATTTCTACTTGGGCTAATGTCTACATTTTTACTTTTTACCAAAAAAAAACAAAGTCTACATTTTTACATTTTAAATACATATAGTCAATTAGTTATGGACTTAAAAAGCATTCAATATTGACTTATGGCAGACATTTCGGAAATTTGTCCTTTAAAAAAAATTTAATTCCTAAAAAAAATAATATATGAGAATGGTTATTAGCAATCATCTAATTCACAAACATGATTTGATGGGAAATAATTTTCCTTGTATTTTCTTTTTCTTAAGGGACGAGAATGCTTATTTGCTAGGGTATATGCTGTTAAACACTTGAACTACAAGTCTCTTGTGTTTTCTCATATTTGGTAAAGCAAATAAAGTAACCAGAAAATACCACTTTATTTCATTTCTCATGTTTTAATTGTGTAGAAATAAAGTTTTCCAATTGTACCATGTTAGACATATGAAAAAAAAAAAAATACCAACAATCTTTGTTGTTGGATAACATTGTAATCTATATGATAATAGGGACAAATTGGTCATAAAAAATGCATTTAATGTTGGCCTTGGTTTCCCATGGGAAGGAAAGTGCGTTTATCCCTTCTCTCTCTCTCTCTCTCTCTCTCTCTCTCTCTCTCGTTCCTCTTTTTTTTTTTTTTTCCTTTCTTTCTCTGCGCTATAAGCGGAGCGATCGAAATGCTTGGGATATTGACAAAGAGAGAAGCAACTTGGAGTTCCTCCCAATGTAGTTGATCGGAATTCAGAGGCTTTCTCTCATAACTCGAAGGCCATGTACCACTAAGAAAATTGGTGCATAGAAAGAAGAAGAAGATAAAAAAGGAAAGAGAGAGAGGAGAAAAATCCAAGAAAGAAAAACCAAGAGAGGAGATAAGGAAATAAAGAGGAAGAAAAAAAAAAGGGAAGAGAGATATTAGAAATTATTTATGTTATTTGTAATTCAATAATGGTTGGTTCCTATGTTTTAGGAAATTAGTTGGGTTTTACCTATTCAATAGGTGTGTACTAGTTGTGGGAGAAGTCTGTTAGTATTAGTAGTAGTGAGATGTTTAGTTGTTCCTTTATTATAAGAGTCAGTCGCTTTGTATGTGTTATTTAAGTTGTGTTTCAGTCAATTAAAATTCGCTTCAGTTCAACATAGCTTTTTATCTCTTATTATTTGAGTTCTCTAAATTTTCCAACATCTGGTATCAGAGGCCCCACTGGGCCTGACTTAAATTCACCAAAAAGAGCAGCTTTCTTGACTTGCAGCAGCAAGGACTGATGGCATTCGACAAGTTTCAAGAGAACTACGTGCAGCTAGCCATACCTCATTTTGATGGTCATTATGATCATTAGAGCATGTGAATGGAGAATTTTCTAAGATCCAAAGAGTATTGGAGTCTCATTGAAACTGGAATTGCAAAACCAGCAATGGGAGCATTGTTGACGAAAGTGCATGGTCGAGGTAGAGGTCGAGCAAGAGGAAGAGGGAGAGGTCCTCATGATTCTGGCGGCAAAGGAAATCTTGATTCCGACAGCAGAGGAAATTCTGATTCTAGAGGTAGAGACAGAGGTCAATACAAACAACAAAGACATCATGAGTCAAAACTCGACAAATCACAGATTGAGTGCTATAGGTGTGGTAGGTACTGTCACTATCGTTCTAAATGCTACGCTAACATGTCTAAAGAAAGGGGTGAGACATCAAAATTTGAACAAAGAGATGAAGAAATTCTTCTTATGGCTTGCGATACAAAGGAGGAATCCCATTCCAATTGGCGGTATATTGACTCAGGATGTAGCAATCGTATGTATGGGAGTAAGTTTGATTTTCATCATTTAGATGAATCCTTGCATACTACTGTGAAGTTTGGTGATGATTCTGTGATTTCAGTGATGGGAAAAGTGATATCCAAATCAAAGCAAAGGATAACTCCCTTCAAACAATTTCTAATGTGTATTATGCTCTTGCCTTAAAAACCAATTTGCTTCGCATTGGCCAGCTGCAAAAGAAGGGCTATGTGATCACCATCAAAGAAGGCACTTGTGAGATCAGTGATCCAAGAAGAGGAACGATTGCTCAAGTGAAGATGACAAAGAATCGATTGTTTCCTTTGTAAATCCAAAAATATGTTCAAACTTGCCTTATTACCAAGGTTGAAAATATGACGTGGCTTTGGCATATTTTTGATATGTTCATCTCAATTTCAATGGTTTGAAGACGTTGCACAAGAAGAATATGGTGATTGGTCTCCCAGAAATTGATTCTCCTTCTCAAATTTTGTGAAGAATGTATGATCGGAAAGCAGCATCGTCAGTCCTTTCCAAAAGGAAAAGCTTGGAGAGCTCATCAACCTTTAGAGCTGGTTCATTCCGACATATGTGGACCCATAAATCCTACATCGAATGGAAAAAAAGAGGTATTTCATAACATTTGTTAATGACTATAGGTGAAAGACGTGGGTATATTTCTTGCAAGAAAAATCAGAAACATTTTCAACATTCAAAAGCTTCAAAGCTCTTGTTGAGCATGATGTGGGCAAACTTATTAAAATGCTTCGAACAGATGGTGGTGGAGAGTTCAGCTCACAAGAGTTTGCTGACTTTTGTGATATCAATGGCATTCAAAGATAGCTCACAAAATGGTATATGTGAGAGAAAGAACACAAAAGTCCATTGGTGTCAAGTGGGTCTACAAAACAAAGTTCAATGAAAATGGAGAAGTTGATAAGTACAAAGCACGCCTAGTTGCATAAGGCTACAAGTAAGAATATGGTGTTGACTATAAGGAAGTCTTTGCTCCAGTTGTGAAACTTGAAACCATTCGTTTGGTCTTTTCACTTGCTACACAAAATGCTTGGCCTATCTTTCAGTTAGATGTGAAGTCTGCCTTTCTACTTGGAGATTTGCAGGAGCAGGTATATGTAGACCAACCCCTTGGTTATGTGAAGCAAGGGCATGTGAAAATAAGGTATATAAGTTTAAAAAGGTATTGTATGGACTGAAACAAGCACTCGAGAATTTTTTGAGAAAAGGCTTTCAAAAATGCCCATATGAGCATACACTATTTATAAAGATTGGAGATAGGGGAAGATACTTATTGTATGCTTATATGTAGATGATTTGATATACACAGGAAACCATGAGGCCATGTTTGATGATTTTAAACATTCTATGATGAGTGAATTTGACATGTCACATTTAGGACCGATGCACTACTTTCTTGGCATTAAAGTGGTACAATTTACTAGTGGAATTTTTATTTCACAGAAAAAATATGTCCTGGGTGTTTTAGACAGGTTTGAAATGCAGAATTGCAACTCTGTTGGTACTCCAACTGAGCTGGGATTAAAGCTGACTAAGAATCCTAGAGGAAAGAAAGTTGATGGTACGTTTTTCAAGCAAATTGTTGGCAGCCTCATGTATCTTATATCAAACAGACCTAACATAATGCATGTTGTAAGTCTTATTAGTCGGTATATGGAAAATCCAATCGAGTCTCACCTTATGGCTGCAAAAAGGATATTCAAATATTTACAAGGGACTAAGGAGTATGGTGTTTTTTTACAAAAAAGGGAAGAGTTGTAATTTTTTGGGTTACATTGATAGTAATTATGCAGGTGATCCAAATGACAGTAAAAGTACATCATGCTATGTGTTTATGATGGGGACATGAGCAGTGTCATGGTCTTCCAAGAAGCAGCAAATTGTTAGTTTAGCAATAAAGTTGGGAAGAATCTTGTTCTACATGGAAGAACTAAGCATATCCATGTGAGATTTCATTTTTTGCGTGATCTTTGCAAAGATTGAATCATTGACTTGAATTATTGCAAGAGTGAAGATCAGATTGCATACATTATGACCAAGCCTCTCAAGTTACCTGTGTTTGAGAAGTTGAGGAAATTGTTAGGAGTGTGTTCCAGGCTGGATCTTCCTTAATGGTGAAGCAGCAGCAACCAAGTTACTTGGAGACTCTTTCTAAACTGAAGTTTGAAGAACATTCAGTTTAAGGGAGAGTGCTAATTAGAAATTATTTATGTTATTTGTTATTCAATAATTGTTGGTTCCTATGTTTTAGGAAATCAGTTAGGTTTTACCTATTCAATAGGGTTGTTCTAGTTGTGGGAGAACTCTGTTAATTTTGGTAGTAGTGGGATGTTTAGTTGTTCCTTTATTATATGAGTCAATTGCTTTGTATGTGTTATTTAAGCTGTGTTTCAGTCAATGAAAATTCACTTCAGTTCAACATAGCTTTCTATCTCTTGTTATTCGACTTCTCTAAATTTTCCAACAAGAGAGAAGGCATAAATGCACAAGAA